ATGCCACAACTTTTTATATTTATTAGATATAAATAAATTGATTAATTTTATTATGAATTATTTAGATGAATAAACTCAAGATAATATGATTTTATTACAAAATGGTTTGATACATGAAACATAGTTATATTTGATAAAGCCTTGTAATCTAAAAGTTTTCACTTTTCAAATTGTCATACATTTGAGATTCAATATAAAAGTCCCAAATTTAATTTTTATTCCCTTATAAAACAACAAATAAATAATATATGCTAAGGCCAGGATCTCGTGCGGACAACGCTTCCCGTGAGGTCGTGTGGTCACTTAACATTAGGTACACATAAATGCATCAGAAAGTGTTTAAAACTGCACCATTAAGTGTGGTGCATTTTTTTTGGTTTGTTCTTCATTTTGTGGTGCATTGGTGCATTTCATTATGGTGCATTTCTGAACACTGTGTGATACATTTTTGTATACCTAATGATGAATCTATACCGATCGCACGAAAAATATTATTGTCCGCATTTGAACCAGTAAATTGTAATATAGGCATGTAGGAGAGTGTGTCTTTAGTAGTACAGTGTTGAATACCAACGCTCAACAACACATAATTTTTAATAGACTCATATATAAGTCAATCAATGTATGTAATATAACACCCCAAAACGGCTGAATTCAATGCATTGTTAGAGTCATCAATATACGTGTCAAGGTACTTATGACACTGCTTAAAAAAAGGGGTTCGCAAAAATATAATACTCAGAAATGAATGAAAAGTTCTAAATGTAAAGAAGGTTTGAGCGTTTTGACAAAAACAGTTGAAATTCCTAACATCCGCATTAAATGTTTGAAAATGGTGTTTTTATCCCAAAAAAAAAAATTATATTGAAACAATGAACTTAATTCCTAACATCCGCATTTGTTAGTTGTTAGGATGGTGGTAGATTTAACTTTAGTTGTTAGGTAGGTGGATGGTGGATTTAACTCATTGGAATTGCCATAATCTCCATCAGAATTATGAGAAACATGAAGATATTGATTTGAAGAAATCATGTCTATTTTCTCTTTTTCGGTTTTTCCCTCCCAAGCCTTTGACCCTATTTGGTAATATATTTAACTTATCAGTCAATTTTGACTTATTTAACCACTATTAATTATTTGACTTGGTTAAACAATTAAATAAGTGTTTGATTAATTAGTTTTTTTTTTGTAATCGTTTATTGTTTCAAAATGTTAAAATTCAAAAAACTTCTCAAAACAGTTTTTTCAATCAATTTGTTGAAAAAGTAATTTTGCATGTAATCAGCTATCAGCTAATTTACCAAACACTTTTCTACAATCAACTACTGTTATTAACTTGTCAAACCCACTAACTCAATCAGCTAACAGCTATTTACCAAATACTCCCATTATCCTTGTTATACACTCTGGGCAGCAAAAATAACTACATAATTTTCTGCCAAATCTCCAATTATGAACCCTAAGGGTGTGTTTGGTTCATGGGTTTACACATTAGGAATGTGAATCAAAATCATAGTTAGTGTTTGATTGATATCTTTTAAAAACATAATTATGGGTTTTGATTACCCTTCAATTAAAATTTTTATTTCCTAATTAAAAAGGGGTAACATTTCATCTTATTGGTAATCTAGTTTTAAGTTTGGATTAGTACTTTTAGATTTTTGTTTTGAATTTTTTTATTTTGTTTTTGTTCATATTGATGCTTTGGGTGTCTTTATATAGGATCAATTGCTTTGATTTTTTATTTTTGTATTTTTAAAACATTTATTCTCATTATAGGGTCATACACAACCAAAATCAATATTCGTAACCATTTCAATTCCACCCGCAAAATACTTTCACCAAAACACATTACCAAAATATTTGATTCTCATTCTGATTCGGATTCCCATGTACGAACCAAACACACCATAAGTTCATCAAATCCAGTAGAGCTAGCCTATAATAGTATCAACATATATAACACTGTTTGGTAAAATAGTTAGCCTATAGGCCAATTTTAACTTATTTGACCACTACTATTAGTTGTTTGACTTTGTTAAAAAATTAATATAAGTGTTTGGTTAATTAGCTTTTTGTAACTCCAAAATGTTAAAATTAAAAAAGTTGCTCAAAGCAACTTTCTCAATTAGTTTTTTTTTAAGAAAAGAAATTATACCAAACAGCTATTAGTTAACAACTAATTTATCAAACATCTTTCTACAATCAGCTACTTTTTTTTTTTCATAACTAATTTACCAAACATCTTTCTACAATCAGCTACTTTTTTTTTTTATAACTACTGACTCTGTTACAATGCAGTTCCATTAAAGCACAAAAAGTCAATACCTCCACTGAGGCTCGAACCGACAACCTCCCACATAAAATAATAACTTGGTATCACTAGACTACAAGGACTCAAAAGTACTTCATACTGTGTTCATACTTTATATTTAACTTGATTTTTAAATATAAGTGTTGATGCTTCATACTGTGTTTGTTGGACATGTGTAATGTAAATACTCATATACTATAAATAATTATAATTGAATTATAAATTATATTAAAAATAATTATAATTATAATATATTTAATTTGAAATATTATTTAATTTAAAATAAGATTAATAAATAATAAATAACTAAAAAATGATTTAAATGATGGTGACTCAACAAATATCCATGCACAATGAAAAGACAAGGTACTAGAGATAGATGAGTATCCAATGATAATGTGGATGAGAAATATTGATGGAGATATTGAAGACGATCTAAGAATGGGGACTTGGGATCTAAGAGCCCAGAGCCTGGGGTCCAATAAGAAGGTCCGGCGATCCAAAATGGATGACTTGGCAGCCCAAGGCGAGGGACCCGGAAGCTCGAGGTGGAGGATCCGGAGGCACGAGATGAAGGACTCGGATTAGGCGAGCTGGGAGCGGAGACCCGGAGCCCAAGTCTCGGGTCCGAGGCCCGGCCTCCGCACCCAGGCTCGGGCAACTCACCATCTCGCCTCAGAGCCCGTCTCCGGGGCCTGGGCGACGAGATTTGACCCAACCCCGCGGTTCACCACGAAGTTAATTAAGTTGGTTGGATACTTGTATAAATAACTTATGTCAATTTAGACAAATCATGCTTTACTCTTATTACAACCTTCCTGTAATATTCTTACATTAATCTATTCAATATTACTATAATTATTTGCCTTTACCATTTTACTCTTTATATTTTATGCAAGGGTTATTGATTCACACATATCCCGAATCAATTAGTCTCATATCATCAAATATCCTCAACACATTATGGATGCTCTTATGGATTTCATAATTTAATTTATTAGATTTTTCATTCACTTCTCGAGCAAGATGCATTCTACGTTTGACCTTTCAACAAATAGCCCTTGCTGGTTATGCTAGTATGCTACCCTTACAATACTTGTAGCTTTTAATTTCTTAGCTAATCCCCTACAACAATACGTACACTTGGTGGGTTTTGATGGCTCACTTATCAACTAAGTAATTAACCAGCAAAACACTTTGTAGGGTTTCTTAGCTAACCATACAACATACAATTAATGGGTTTTGATGGCTCACATGTTAGATAATAATAAAGTTAACATAAACTGAAATAAACGAGTAACCTGACTCGTTACAGCGGAAGCTTTAGGACCTTTGAACATTCCTAGCCATAGTTGTGGAAATTGCCTCTGGAATGGTAAACCTGTAGAAAGTGTTTTGTCTACCACTACTCTCCCGAATACGTGATGGTGCGTGTCCTGAACTCGGGAGCTGTGGGAAGACTGTTTTGCTTAGAAGCCTACATGCCATCAACATAGGCAGATATTCAGTTAAAGCTTAACTGAATATCCTGAGTTGCATAACAGATTAAGTCACTAATTGACTCAATCTCCTACTTGCACTACAGCCACCCAATAATACAATATATTATAATATATTGTATTTAGGAAAAATACTTACATTCTCCCACCGACTCATCAACTAAGTAACCATAGCAAAACACTTAAGCAAACAAGTTATATATATATATATATGTCTGTGGCTAACTTGGGTTAGTTAAGGGATTGGGGCATGCATGTTAGTGCTGAAACAACTAACTAACCTCCAAATGATATGGCCAACTTAGCTTCCCCCAAATACATGCCTCAAAATTTTCAAAGCTTAGGGTTAAGATGTGTTGGGTTCTACTCTAGGTCTTTTTGGATGTATCCAACAAAAAAAAAAAGTTATAAGTTTGGTCAAGTTTGATCTTTTAATTTAGGAGATGAAAACTAAAAATTATGTGTTATATTGATTTTTAAATTAAAGTGTTATCATCAAATATAAAAGCAATGTAGATTTTAGGAGATAGATCGAGTATACTATGGTATCTACTTGCTTCGCTCTACTACGTTCCAACACATGTCATCTTCTAGTAACGAGTTGAGACATACACAATAAATATTTTTAATCTTTTCATACTGAGATTTGAATTTAAACTATTTTCTAACATATTTTGAGGTATGAAAACATTTTCCTTAAAGAATATTTGAGACTTCAGATTGTTTGACTCAAGAAAAATATTTTTAAAGATTTTAAAAAGTTGAGCTCGCTCCTTTGTATATTGGTGTTATATATACATTAGCTGGTTTTCTCCTTGATAATAAGGAGAGTTCATTAAGAGGTGCACTTTCTGCTGAACCACTATACATCTTTTTCTACATTTTTATTTTCAAACACTTATATTCAGTACTTTACATTTTATCGAATCTATATCAAACAAACAACTTCAAAAGATCTTCAAACTTAACTAAAATCAAATTGGTAAAGCATCTTGTGCTCAGATGGCATTCGAGTTAAACTCCTATGTGGGATGTTATAAGTTCGAGCCCTTGCTTTATATTTAAACAAGGCAAATAAAAGACTTTTGTTATTCATACTTTGTACTAAAAAATTTAAAACACAAAAGTTTATTCATTACTTTCTCCCTAAATTTTGAGTAATACTGCACATAGTCCCATTTTCTACTCCATTTCTTACTCTGTCATATCCTGATTGTGTGATTTCAACCCCCAATGCGCCAAGCCAAGATCCTAGGGTTAAAAAAAATGAGGTAAATCTTTTTCCTCCCAAGATTCACAGATTATTCAATCATGGAGTTGATGAGCAGCGTTACCGTCCATCTTCAGTTCTGTGCATCAAATTATTCTATTCCTTTTACTATTCAATCCAGCTCGCTTTTCGAGTGGCTGCCATTATTGAAATACCCACACTTCACTTCATACGCTGATAACTCCCCAAAACACCATCTAAAAGGGTATTTGCCATTTATCTTACTCCAATAGTAGAGAAAAGGAATGCCAAATTGGGAGCTCAGGAAATGCTGCAATCACGAGCAAGTGGTCTTTCTTGCCACACTTGGTGTCTGCACTGTCGTCATTCTTGCTGTACTTTCTTTTCTCTCAATTCCCTTTACTGTTTATTCTCATAAAGATTCTAACTTTAGCTGATTTCTAGTTTTTCTTTTTCTTCTTGGAAATAGCTGATTTCTAGTTGTTCATTTGGAATTGGATTTTGAAGGGGGGGGGGGGGGGGGGGGGGGGGGGGGGGGTTGGTGCTCACCTTGCTAGGTTAATGTTAACAGATCTTCATTATGATTTAAACAAAATCATCAATTTTGAACTAAATATCCATGGCCAGTGCTAATATTCATACTAAATATTCAGTTTATTGAAATGTTCATGTCATTTGAACCAAATGTATATAGGTACCCAATTGCTCATATTGGTAAGTGATCTTGGGCTCAAAGTATACCAATTGAAAAAAAATAACTCTTTTAAGTGTTGAAGTTTCCTAATCTTGGACCCCTTTTCTAACAATTATCTTGATTTCTTGTTGTAGCTATGGAGGACAGTTCTGCTACTGCCATTCAAACTAGTTACTGTATTCATTCATGAAGCTAGTCATGCTATTGCTTGCAAACTTACTTGCGGTCATGTAAGCAACACTTCACCTTTTTTTTTGTGTGTGTGTGTGATTATGTGAATATAACCGCATTGAATAGAGGACATCGTGAAGAATAATTTGTTAAAGTGATAGTGAGATGCATGATATTGTTATCCTATGTGGTATGTTACGTTGAGTGTTGACCCTCATTAATAAGAGAGAGGTTAATGCACTTATATATTATGAATCTGCAAAAGATCAAATTTGGTTATTTTGCTTACATTATCAAGTAATCCGTTATTAGATTTTCAAGCTTACAAAACAGGGGCAAAAACTTCAGATTACTGCCTATGATGATGGAAACGATTGGTAGAACACAAGATATATCATATTTGGCCTGAGATTTAAATATGAACCAATTTCATCTTGCTGCATATTGCAAATACAACAAATCCTCGCGTTGGTCTATTTTTGGGGAAGAAGTTGCGGGTGATTATTTTGTTTTCTATGGGGTATTGCGATATCTTGTAGTGGCATAATAAGATTTATTCAACCTATTCATGCGAGCTAATTCTGTTTTAACAACTATTTTCTTGTCCTCTCTGTTGGGCGTCAACCTGGTTGGCTGAGTTCAGCCCTTGCTCGATTCTAGACGTGGCACTGTGGCTTACCATGGAGGGATGTGATTAAATGGTTAATGTTCACCTATTTATCACCAATTGGTTTTAAGTAGGATATGACAACCAGATAGCCAAAGAACTCTGTGGTTAAGCGTGCTTGACTTAGAGCAGTGCTCAGATCCATCACTCCCTCAAAAGGACTTATTATTTTTGCACTTGCTCTGTTGCTCATATGTAATGCCTGTTTAGCTTGGCAGGTGGAAGGCATCCAGATTCATGCTGATGAAGGTGGCAGTACCGAAACACGTGGTGGTGTATATTGGTTCATTCTACCAGCTGGATGTACCGTCATGACTTTCCTGTTTGACTTATTAGTCTTATTGTGCATCTGCATTTTCAATTTTCGGTGAATTGAACCATAAAGCTTGTCTAACCATCTAAATCTATTTAAACTAATTGGCCATACAAAATTTGCAAACTGCCCGAACATCCTTAGTGGAATATATTGATGTGTATGGAAGTAATTGAAGTCTACCTTTTATCTCACTTCAGACCTCGGTTCGTCTTTCTGGGGAATGGTTTTAGTCCTCGCCTCTACAAATCTTCTGACAGCAAGAGTTGCCGCTGGATGTTTAGCTGTCACGCTACTTGTTGTTCTCTGTGTGGCTAAAAATGTAATTTCCCATTTACTTCTAGAGCGGCTTTTTGCATTTTAGCATAGATTTGTCCATATAATATGATTTTCATAGTTCTGCAATGACGATGCAACTCTAGTACTCTACTGATCATCTATTCTTTCCTTTGAACAGTGGACTCTTCGGGGGCTTTGTATCGGTAAGGTCTTCTCATTTCTTGATTTAGAAAATTTTCGACTAATAATAAAGGTCATAAGATATTGGTGGTACTGATGTTTAAATTTTAAACCTTAGGTCTTATTCTCTTCCTTGCTGTCATATGGATTCTGCAGGAAACAACCAAAATCCGTATTCTACGGTACATTATTCTGTTCATTGGTAAAATTTCGGTCCATTTTCTATGCGATGCCCTTTTTGTTGGGCAGGTTCTGATGCTGCATTTCTTGCTTTCGATACAGTGTAGAATATGGTTGCTTATTTGTGTTTCGATTTCATGCAGGTGTAATGAACAGCTTGTTTTCTGTCTGTGGTATGCCCTTCCCGACATCATTAAATTTCACGCTCGATGGATTGGTTGATTATGCTATGAACATATCCTCGTGTATATATACGTGCAGATATTTACAGTGATCTGATATCTCGAAGAGTTCATACCAGCGATGCTGAGAAGTTTGCGGAAGTGTGCCCGTGTCCTTGTACTGGTGTCGGGTGGGGTGTCATCTGGTGAGCATACTTGCAGTACTGAAGTGCCAAGTTAGCCACCTCTTTAATCATATACTTCCTAATTGCCAATTGATCTGTTTAGTGTTGTAAAAATCGGCCTAGGCGCTAGGCGCCCCTAGGCTGAAGGGATTTCAGCCCTAGGCGGCTTTTAGTCGGCTGGCTAACTTAACTTGGCCGAGTGGTTTTTTTCTTTAATTTCCTCGCATGTACGTCGTCACCTGCTCGGCTGCTCCTCTTCCATATTCTTCGGTACTCAACTAATAGTCTATAACATGTGTACGTGACTAGTTTTGGGGATTATTACAGTCTAACAACTCACAACCCATTACAACCTGAACGGTGTGGTTGAGTAGAAGGGATTCATCCATCATTAACCAAAGGTTAAGGGTTCGATCCTTGGCTTTGGGAATGGAGCAGTCTTAAATCTCTAGGTCAGCTGTCTCACCCAAAAGAGGTGCCTACAAGGCGAGGGGTTTTGGGTGCCTACAATTCAGCGAGGGAATTAGTCACTGTGTCCGACGGTGGAAACCCTGAGTATACCAAAAAAAAAAAAAAAACTCACAACCCACTACCTTTTATTTTGTTTTTTGTTTTTAAATAATTACTCGGCCGCCTAGACGCTGGTGCCCGCCTAGCGCCTTCTGCAACATTGGTTTCTGTTGTTATCGTAAAATTGAGAGAATTTCGGTTTGCAGGGGACTCATATCATTCTTGTTTCTCTGCACAGCAACGTACCTCGGTCTGGTGATCCTATCTTGAGGTAAACCAACACGTAAACCCTTCACTCACTTCTGCTGCCCCGGATTCTTTTACTCTCTCTTAGTACTATATTTCAGAACAAACTGGTTTTCTACTTTGAATTGCAGGGCGAGGGAAACCAAATAGAAAAGTCGAATATATTGTTCATGCAAACTGCCAAGTACAAACAACTTTGTCATCATATATACATTGTATATTGAGGTTGATATTGTTTGTTGTTGTTCAAAATGGGAGAATTTTAAGTCTGTCATGGCAGCCTCTTCTTTAGCAGTTGCTTGGTGAAGAATGGGGACTGTAACAGAGCAGAAATTTGTCATGGATTCTTCATGTAATTGAAACTTATCACACATGGAAAATAAAATGGCCATAGCTTTACAATTTGATTGGGAAATTTCATTTATGGTTTCTCTTTATGTTAGACAACTACTCTTATACTTCTCCCAAAAGGTTGAATCCCCAACCTTAGCAGACAGGGCCAAACGTCGGTACGCACAAGGGATCTGTCCACTTTAGACATAATCCCTACACTGTGGCTTGGTATTTTCTCCCAAATACTGTTTACTAACCAGTGAGCTACTTGTGATATCTAAATTGGTTGTTCCATCAAACAAAATGCTTCTTTGTGATTACACATTATGATTTTTTTTATTTTTTATTTTTTAGTTCAAAAGGAATTTGATGGATATCCAACTACTACATTTTATGGAGAAGTACGCCAAAAAAATGTTATTCAATCCCTATAAATTCATATTACAGACAGAGTATCGTCCGTGGTCAAATCTAAAATAACAACACATACGAATATTTTTGTTACTATCTCTGTCTAGATAAGAAAAATCTTTGATAAGATGCAATATCTCCATCTTGAGAAAAATAGTAAGAGTGTGTAGTCGCCTACCAAGTTGTTATATGTTGTAGTTATTTGTTTAGAAAAAAAAAAAAAAGTAAAATAAGTCCTTATGTAATTATGTTAAGCAAATAGTGTAATTGAGTCCTAAAAAAAAAAAAAAAAAAAAAAAAAAAAACACTTTATTCAAACCTAAAAAGGGCAAAAAAGTACCTCCTCTTTACGTAGGCAAGTGAAGGTAGTCAAATAGGAGGAGATGCGACGCCCTCCTTGGCTCCATAGTATTCCAAGTGGCAAATTATTGTATGGACCATGGTGCACACATTGTTGTATGGACCATTACAAAAAGTACATTTTTAATATACTAAATGTACATTATTTTTGTACTAAATGTCCATTATATAATATAATGTACACTCAGTATACAAATAATGTACATCCCCTGAATACAATGTACATTATTTTTATATTGAATGTACATTAATTTTGTACTGAATGTACATTATTTTATAGTATACAAAATATGGTCCATACAATTTGGTCCACACAATAATGATTGGTTCTAAGTTGGTATCTTGATATCAACTCCTTGAATGGGTTCTCTCAATGATTGAACTAAACGTGTCAAAATTTCTGTCGATTAACTTATCAATGTTCCAAAAATATGATCAAACTAAACGTGTCGAAATCTCTGTCAGTTAATTTGTCAATGTCCCAAAAAATATATATAAAGCACGTAGCTTTTATTTTTACAAAAATTTTTAAGTACTATTTGTAAGCTATGCAATATGCATAAAAGGGCTTTCAGCCTTTTATTTTTTTAGGGTATGTCTAGGATTTCTATTGTCGAGCATAGTAATTAATTCTTTCGTTGGCCTGAAGATTTAAGACTGCTCCATTTCCAAAACTAATGGTCGAACCCTTTGACCTTTGATTAATGATGGATGAGTTCCTTCCACTCAACCACACCCTCCAGGTTAAGAGCTTTCAGTCTACTCAACAATAAATAGATGACTCAAAATCAAAATACTAAATTATCGAAATGGTTTCTTGACTATATCGAAATTACTAATTTGATCCTTGACTATTTTTTTGACTAATTAAGTCCCTCAACTTTAATTTACTTGGCCCTCCGTTTGTTTAGATGTTAGATGCCCGTTTATTAGGGACCAAATTGATAATTTCGCTATAGTTAATGGATCATTTAGGCAATTAACATATATTACCTTATAAAGAACATATATTACCTTATAAAGAATTACTAGTATTTTTTTAAAAAAATAATTTCTCAAACATTTTCAGTCCAAAGAATCTAAACTCTCACCACTCATGTTCAAACCTATGACTATCCATTTAAAATGATAACTAATGTCACCACATTACATGATAGTTGGCAATTTATTCCTTTATTTAGATCAGTGTTAAAAAAGACGCTAAGCGCCCAATTTTTTAAATTTTTAAAAAATTTTAGGAGTTATTCACCAAAAATGACCTGGATTCGAGCGCCTAGATGTCCGGTCGCGGAGGAGGCCCTGAGCGTCGCCTAACTCCTAAGCGCCGATTAATCGACACCTAAGTACGACTTTTGCAAGAATGATTTAGATATTTTTTTCTCCCTATTTTTGTTAAGGGTGGTTGGGTAAATTCGTGCAGACCGCTAAACCCTAATGCCGTAATTATTTCCCTTGCTTAACATCTCCTACTAATCATCTTGAAAATTTTGCTTAAGATTTAGACAGTGTTTTGGTTTGAATTTGCACCAAAGACTGTTGTTCCTGGAGAAGAAGTTGAAGCCGCTGCAAGTGTAGAAGCTAAGAGAGAGTGAGAGACAAAGAACAGGTGAGATGGAAGGGGTGTTGGTGACGCCGGGAGAAGTGTTGGGATCGGCTTTGGAGTACAAAGCGGGGAGAGGGGCTTACCTTTCAGGACAGCATAAGATTGTGTGCGCCTCCATCACTGGATTCCGCTCCTTCGTACCTCCTCCTTCCGACTCTTCAGACCAGGTAATTCTCATATCTTCACACTTTTCCGCTTAAAACTCACATTTTTAAAGTTTATTATAATGCAGTTGGTTCGAGAACTGGGTTAATTGTTTCTTAGCATCTTTTTGAATGTGTGTATGCCGTGAACAAGTTAAGTTTAGTTATGGACTTTATGGCTGGGTAGTTGTTTCTGGAATGTGAATATCTGCCAAAAAAGAGAGAGTATTTTTAATGTCTTAATGGCATTGTAGCTAAAGGTGACAGTGCTCAATTGAACTGGATATTTATTTGGGAAACATATTTGTTGAAGGTTTTGCAATTGGATTTGCTATTGTTTAAAGGAAGAATATGGAATATCTAGTTTCTTATGCCATAAAGTGGTAGTTTACCTGTGAATTTTCAGTTGAAAATAAGGGTAATATCTGTTTAGCTACTTGAATTCCTTATTCATTTTAGGCCCCAAAGTGACACTCTAACTTGGCAAGTAGCCAAATAAAAAAACGGTGGTGAACAAAGAGAGGAAGTGTTTGGGTTGTTACTTTTTTTTTTTTATTTTTGATACATTAGGTTTCCCAACTTACGCTAGATTAATCCTAAGCCCCCTAGAATTATGCCTGAGGGCGTTGGAGGAGGTAAATTGGGAGTCGCCCAATCAGTCCTCAGTTTCTACCCCTGCCTGTACACTCTGCGCACAAGGAGTCTTCATCACCTCTGATCAATGTCTTGGGCTTTGGGTCTCCCAGTGACCCCCCATGTCTTCAGCGGGGTTGTTATCTTAAACATTGTTGATGAGGATATCATGTACCATTATATCTCACTTGACTAGATATTTGTGTTTCATAAATGAGTTGCTTTTTATTCATTTTGGTACATGGATTACTCTAGACATTAGTCTTTTTGATACTATTTACTAAGGAAGCATATAGACCTTGAGTTACTCTCTCTCTAATTTTGTTTTTTAAAAAAATTGCTTGCATTATTTGTAACAAGATAAGGATTAATGAACAGCGAACTCCTATTAATTCAGGAATTAAAAGGTTTTCTAAACTCTTTCTTTTAATCTCCATTTCTCATCCTTTCTTCTGGTCTGGTTGAGCACATATGTTGAACTGATGTTCATATTTTATTGTCTACTTTTTATGAAGAATAGTATAGTGTTCTGCAAGAGCAATAGGAAGTTTTCTTTTACTTCTTTTATTAATCGTTCTTTCCTCTGGTCTATAAAGACAATCATTTGTCCTACTCTTTAGCTGAAATTTTGTTATGGTTTATTTGAATTTTCTGTTGCTTATGGTGTCTTTGTTTCTGTACATATTCACCAGAGACTGACTGTGGAGGTTACTGGACATAAGGCTCATGGACCTGTTCCTCAGCCAGGTGTTGTTGTTACAGCCAGAGTAAGATTTCTCAAAATAAAGCTTCTTAATTCAAAATGGGTCAGGCGTTAAAACATGGCTTATATTTGACAGGATTACACCACAATGATTTATTAGTTAGAAATTCATACACTATTGGTCTTTAGAGTTATAGTATCATTTTCAACTTCATTGAAGGCAATATAACATAAACATTCTTGATTGTATTTACAAAATAATAACAATAATAAGGGGTCGTTTACTTCATTTCTCTGTTTTTCCATTTCCAGTTTTCATTTCTCCATTTCTCCAGTTTTCCTTCTCCATTCTTCCAGTTTTCCATTTCTCCATTCCTCCAGTTTTCCTTCTCCATTCTTCCAGTTTTCCATTTCTCCATTCTTCCCGTTTTTAATTTCTTAAATTTTTATTTTATTACTAGTATTTTTATGCACGATGCACAAAAAATAGGGACCAAATATTAGTACATTATATTAAAATTGTAAATGTATTTTAATTTTAAATATTTAAATTATTGTAAATAATAATAATAATAATGTAAAATATTTTTATAAATTTGATATTTATATGTCAGGAAATAACTTACATATAATTTCAATATTATATATATATATATATATATATATATATATATATATATATATATTGTTGAAGAATATAAGAAAATATATGGTAGATGGCATGTACATAGTAACAATAGTGGAAAAAATAACGGAAGTTATAACGGTAATGGTATTTTTGAGGGAAAAAAAAAGAAAAAGAAAAAATGATAATAATAATTTAATTAGTAATAACAATAAGGATGAGGGAAAAAAAAAAAAGAAAAAGAAAAAATGATAATAATAATTTATTGATAACAAAAATTTAATTAGTAATAACAATAAGGATGAGGGGAAAAAAAGAAAAAAGAAAAAATATAATAATAATTAGTAATGCGGAGCAACAATAATTAAAGGGGGAGGGGAATGCATGACCAACCGTGAGCAACTGAGAAGAGGGACGCGCATGCACCTAGCAGGAATCGATCCCTGGATCTCAGCACAGACACTGTTCACGCGTGTCTTTCCATTCCTCCAAATGGAGAAGTTGGTTTTTTCTTTCTCCAAAATCATTAAGAAATATGGAGAATGGAGATAGAGTAAGAATTTGGAAGAATGATTTTAGTAAACAAGTTTTCCAATTTTCATTTTTCCACTTCTTCAATTCTCCATTTTTCCAAGTTAGTAAACGACCCCTAAAATTTTTTAAAAATGTATTTTCCCTATTTTGTTTTGGGGTTTGCTGTTGCTTGCCTTGATGAACTGCTTTACTGAAGAAACTTCAAACTTAGAAGTTTAATGTTCTATTTGCTATAGTTGTGGTTTGAGATCTCTAAAAGTGTATCCTTGATTGGTTTTGGCAGGTTACTAAGGTGATGGCCAGGATGGCTTCAGCAGATATAATGTGTGTTGGTTTCCAGGCTGTTCGTGAAAAATTCACTGGTATCATCAGGTAATATATGGGTGTTTTTATGCCCAATGTGAGAGATCAAGTCTTTTTGCAAATCATATATTGCTTTGCATAAATGCCATGTTTTTCCTCTCTGGACCCAGCTTTTTTCCACTTAGCTTTATTTTCTCACCTTTTATGGTTGCTTATCAATAGCTGACTGAATTTAATTACAGTTACCAACTCTATTAATCACAGGTGTATAGTAGGAAAACCTTGTTATAAATATTTTTTGGTTTTTAAATAAACTTAATCTCATGAATATGATGCTGCAAGACTTTGACCAAGAGTCAAAACATTCTCTCTTTCTCTCTAATATAAGAAAGATTGTAAACTTCTTTTTGTCTCTTGAATTAAACAGGCAACAGGATGTTAGAGCGACTGAGATTGACAAAGTTGATATGCATTCATCCTTTCGCCCGGGTGACATTGTTAGAGCTTTGGTGGTATCCTTTGCATTAAAATTGAACTTTATTAATGCTGAAAATAGGAATTTGTTGTTTTGTTGATGAATAATAGACTGATATGCTTTGAGCTGTTCCTTCTACCTAGCCTGTTGATGGTTGTGAAATTTGTCATCCTTTTGTGCTTTATGGTTGGTACAAAACGAATTTCACATGACTCATCCAAGCCTAGTGAGGCAAATACGGCTTTCATATCTTGGTAGATGAATTAGATTTAAAATATTTTCTTAACTGCGCAGCTGTGTTACATATTAAGAACACTCAATGTTGAGTATGATTAGTTGGCCTTAATATTACTGTTTTAACAAGCTATCACTTGGAGACGCACGTGCATATTATCTATCAACTGCAAAGAATGAGCTCGGTGTTGTATCTGCAGAAAGTGTAGCTGGTGAGACTTCTTTCCTTTTCTCCATAGTATTTCTCGTGTTAATTTGATCTCTTGTGAATTATTGTATCATCATGATTCTTTACAAGGTAGTATCTGTTCTATACTTTCTCAAGCTTTTTCAGTCCAAAGAACCAATGCCCCCATCACAGGGTTTCGATCCTGTGACCACTCATTTAGAATGGTAACAGAGGTGCCATCACACTACAAAATAGTTGGTGAAGAACTAGATATGCTACAAGTGTTTGTGACTTTGTATTTGATTAACCAATATAATCTTTTATACTGGCCATTAAATAGGTGCTACCATGGTTCCGATAAGTTGGACAGAGATGCAGTGCCCCCAGACAGGCCAAGTTGAACAGAGAAAGGTTGCTAAGGTTGAAGCTTGACTAACTAATTGAAGACTAGAGTAGTTGCTGTCTTGTGATTCGATTATTATTGAAGCCGGAGAACTGTGCAGTGTTATCCCAGACCTCTAATGTTGTCAATGGAAGGTCCTGATTTAAGATTGAGGATGGTAGATTTGGGTGTTTACAGGGGTCTTTCTTGATCCAAAGGCAGAAGAATGACACTGAAATAGTGAATATGAGCTGGAAGCCTTTTTTCTGGTGTTTACAGTGACCTTGCAGCCTAAGATGTTGTCTGAGTACATACTTACAGATGCTTGAGGATATGCCTTGATTATTTTTCTGCATGTATGTTGAGATCAATATTTTAAATGTGATGTACAATATTTTAAAATTAACATACAATCGTATTATTAGTCCTAAAAATATGGACAGAAATCAGAATATAATATGAACATAATGTTTTTAGATTTAGAAAATTTGTTTTACTATATCTAGAAAAAGATAGTTTTTCATAGAGATTGCTATGGTCAATTTCGGTTGATTTGCGATTAATAATGGAAATAATCGAAAATTGTTAACACAAGCATAACCAACCGATAAAGAAAAAAAAATTGAAAAAATCAATGTATATATTTTTAAAACTTTAAAACCAATATCCAGAAAACTGATTATTGCATATTCCTATGCTTAAATGCCTATTAAAATTTTAACCATTAAGATAGCCATAGTCGGGGTAACCCTAATCAATATGGCACGAGATCTACACTTGTAATCACTAGATCATAAGTTTGAATTTTTGTCCATTGGTTTGAGTCGGTTAGCTATGGGTCACAAGGCAGAGTTGATTACTTGATCCATCAAATTTTTTTCATTCTTCATTAGCTAATTTTCTGCTACATTTTTTGCTCTAGTTAGGGCTGTTAACGAACTGAACATTAACGAACGAAGGTTGTTTGGGTTTGTTTGTTAAGATTTTTGGAGTGTTCGTGTTCGTGTTGTTTGTTAAGGTTTTTGAAAATCCTATTCGTGTTCGTTTGTTAAGCGTTCATCAGTGAACAAACATGTTCGTTCACATTCGTGGACACGTTTATGAACGTTTAAAAACCAAACACAAGCTCATGTTTATGATCACAATTCGTTTGTGAACAAGAATATATATATATATATATATATATATATATATATATATATATATATATATATATATATATATATATATATATATATATATATATATATATATATATATATAGATTTTGGTTTCTGTGAGAACAGGTCTTCCCGTGCGGTCAGTGCGACATACACCATTAGGTATGCATAAATGCACCATACAGTGTTCGAGAATACACCAGAATGAAATGTCAAAAATGCACCACACAAAAAAAAAAAAATTACACCACACATAATGGTGTATTTTCGAACACTGTGTGGTGCATTTATGTATACCTAATGGTGTATGTCGCACTGACCGCACGGGAAGACTTGTTCTCACAGGAACCTGACTATATATATATATATATATATATATATATATATATATATATATATATATATATATATATATATATATATATATATATATATATATATATATATATATATATATATATATATAAGTAAGGGTTCAGGTGCGGGAATGGCTTATTGTGCGGTTGGACGCACCTTAAGCATTAAAATGGCACACATTAAGTATTAACTTCACACATCTTAGTTTATAACACTGACACCTTAAGCATGCGAATCACGCACCTTAAGCACACAACACACGCACCTTAAGCGCAAAACTCATACATATTAAGTTTCACACAACTACTCACATTAAACACAAACTCCACGCACCTTAAGCACAAACTCCACCCACCTTAAGCACAAACATAACGCACCTTAAGTTTCAACAACTACTCACATTAAGCACACAACTCACACACCTTAAGCACAAATCTCACGCACCTTAAGCACAAATCACACGCACATTAAGCACAAAACTCACGCACATTAAGCTCAAACTCAAGCACCTTAAATTTACTTAGATGCAAAAATTACCAAATTGCCACCGCATTTTTTTAAAAAAAATTTTGGTAATCTTGAACGTTGATTTAAGCAAGATCAATGGCTCAAATTTAACCGCCCAATTGCACCTGGGCTGCCAACCGCACCATAACCTAATATTATATATATATATATATATTCTTAACTGCTTGTTCATGAACGTTATTAAACGAGCACAAACGTATTTGTTGATGAGCTCTTAACAAACGAGCTTACAACTATTCAGACTATATTTGTTTATTTATGTTCGTTTACCTTAATAAACGAACATAAACAAACGCTTATCAAACACAAATACGAGTAGTTTATTCAAAGTTCTGTTCACTAACACCCTTAGCTCCAGTCTAACAAACGCGGAACCCGTGTTCAAAAGAATCAAAGCAAGTCAATAGATAATAAGAAACAAAAAATACTACTTGTATTCACAAATTTTACTCTCAACTTTTACTCCATCTCACAAATCTGGAATGTAGACAACTTTTTCTAGACCCACAAGAAAAATTGTCCTATTCATGCTTGCCACATCAGGACAATTGTTATACCGTACACCATGGCGCACATATCAATGCGCGCCCCGCGCCTCCCAAAACGACGTCGTTTTGTAAATTTCAGGTATAAAATTTTATGCATTCTATTATAATTCTGTACATTCGAAACATGAGAATTTTCAGTTATAAAATTATGTGTTTCCGGGTATAAAATTCTGTGCATTCTATTATATAATTTTGTACATTCGAAACATGGATCTTTTTTAAAGAGTTAAGAGTTTAGGTGTATTATGTTAAGAGTTTATGTATATTATGTATTATGTTAGATTATGTGATCATTTTAAAAAAGATTATGTGTATTTAGTTATAAATTCTGTGTTTTCAGGTATAAAATTCTGTGTATTCTATTATACAGTTTTGTACATTCGAAACATGAATTTTTTATTTTCAAGAAGTTAACAACGGACACGCGAAAAGGTACAATGCATTGTGCGCCCTAGTGCATGGTATAATTTGCCACATCAAGAAGTATAATTGATGGAGTAGAATTTATGCAATCGTTATGCCATGGAACCGTGTTCACCATCCATGGTGAACACGGTCCCAACGGTGTTAGTACACTGTTATCTTTTTTTTTTTTCCTTAATTAATCGCGTGACTTTTCTTCTTCATTTTCACATTTCGCGGTTTCACTTTAATTTGAGGTGAGCAATGATTTCGAACATTCATAAATTATGAATCCATGCCTGCACATTCTCTTTGGAACCATGCCTACACATTCCCGTCCGAAACCATGACTGCTCCTCTGTAGCGCAAGCTTCTTCAACATTCATAAATTATGAATGTGCAGGCATGGATTTATGAATGTGCAGTTATGAGATTATGAATTTTCAGATTATGAATTTACAGAAAATTCATAATTACATAAATGTAAATTCATAATCTCATAACAGAAAATTCATAATTTAATAAATGTTTTACTTTTATGCGATTATGAATTTTCTGTTATGAGATTATGAATTTACATTACATTCATAATCTCATAACAGAAAATTCATAATTTGACCAAACGCGCGCCGTAATCAGCACGTTAACTAATTTTTTTTTTTTCGCATAAAAACGACGCTGTTTGGACTTGTGTTCACCATGAATGGTGAACACGTTTCCAGGGCATAATTTGTCGAATTTAGGAGTCCCCATAGTAGAACCAATCGTTATGCTGTGCATCCGTATGCACCATGCATGGTGCATACGAATGCCAAAACGACGTCGTTTTATTAAAAAACGCGTGTCTCCCCTTTAAAAAAAATTCAGGTTCAATTCCCAACAACAACATTATATTGTTCATTCATTCTAGAATTTTAGTTCATAGATTATGGAATTATAGTTCATTGATTATGGAATTATAGTTCATCGATTATGGAATTGTAGTTCATCGATTCTGAAATTTTAGTTTATAGATTATGGAATTTTAGTTCATTCATTCTGAAATTTTTTGTTCATAGATTAGATTATAGAATTATAGTTCATCGATTATGGAATTATAGTTCATCGATTATGGAATTTTAGTTCATATGTTGTTGCTGGGAATCGAACCTGATTTTTTTTTTTTAAGGGGAGATGCGCGTTTTATTAAAATGACGTCGTTTTTGCATCCGTATGCACCATACATGGTGCATACGGATGCACAGCATAATTTGCCATAGTAGAACACTAGAACTCGAATAGTTATGCTGTGCATCTGTATGCACCATGCATGGTGCATACAGATGCAAAAACGACGTCGTTTTATTAAAAACGCGCGTCTTCCATTTTAAAAATTCAGGTTCGATTCCTAGTAACAACATTATTTTGTTCATTCATTATGGAATTTTAGTTCATGGATTATGGAATTATAGTTCATCGATTATGGAACTATAGTTCATCGATTATGGAACTATAGTTCAATAATTCTGAAATTTTTAGTTCATAGATTAGATTATGAAATTATGGTTCATCAATTATGGAAATATAGTTCATCGATTATGGAATTATAGTTCATCGATTATGGAATTATAGTTTTGAACTTGATTTTTTTTTTTTACAGGAGACGCGCGTTTTATTAAAACGACGTCGTTTTTGCATCAGTATGCACCATGCTTGGTGCATACCGATGCACAACATAATTTGCCCTAGAACTCATAGGAAATCGGGCAAATTATATTATGCACCGCGCGTCTTTTTTTTTTAAATGAAAATTAACAGTGTTTATTTCCGCCGTTTCGCACCCTTTTGCAAAAAATAACTCTGTTATTCAGTGTCATTTTGTATACACTGCAGTTTCAGTTGAACAGAACTACAGTTTCATTTCGATATAACTATAGTTTCATTCGATATTTATAGACTCAAATATGTGAAAATGTTATTTAATTTTATTTTATATACACTATAGTTTCATTAAAATACAACTACATGATCATTTTGATATAATTACAGCTTCATTGTACAATATACACTCAAATATGTGAAATGTTATTCAGTTTCAGTTTATATACACTGCAGTTTCATTTCACTATAACTACAGTATCATTTTGATATAACTGCAGTGTCGGTTTGAATATACTGTAGTGTCAGTTGATGTTTAATATACCAAACAAACGGACTCCGTTAACTCTAACGGCGGGCCGTTTCTTTACTTAAAGAAACGGCGTCGTTTTTGACCGCGGTGCACATGCACCGCGGTCTATAATATAACGACTGGGAAATCGAGGCTAGGCTTTAGCACACTTGTTTTGGCCCGTCTAGCTTAAGCCTAATATAGAGCAATATTGGGCCTCTTTTATTCCACCACTAATATACTTGACTCATATAAACAAAACCTGAGGGCCTAGTCCAACTATTTAACCTATTCTCTGTGCCCATATATGAATCTCCAAAACCCTAGGGTTCTCATAGTAACTAGAGGCAGAACAGAGCCAAGAGAGATCTGCAGCTGCTCGCTCTTCGGCGCTCAATCACAGGTACTTTCTACTCTGTTATCTCTATCTTATTGCTCAATCGATTGGCCTCTCGTTCATTAGCCGTAATTCTCTGAGTTCAGATCTGTGAAGATGTATTCTTCTGCTGCAAAAATCCGCAAGGACAAGGACGCTGAGCCAACTGAGTTCGAGGAGTCTGTTGCGCAGGTTTTCTCATTTCCGACACTGGTGAACTGCATGCTTTCTGTTTATTCATTTGCATTTGTAAATCGGTTTTGGAATTTTGTTGTCTCCACAGGCGTTTTTCGATTTGGAAAACACCAATCAAGAGCTCAAGAGTGACTTGAAGGACCTGTACATTAATTCTGCTGTGTAAGTGCCGTTGTGGAGTGCTTAGTGATATTAGTTGGTTTTGTTTTCGATTGTTGACTTTTGTATTTCATTGGTTTTATGCAGGCAAATTGATGTCGCTGGAAACAGGAAAGCTGTTGTTGTTCACGTGCCTTATAGGCTAAGAAAAGCTTTCCGCAAGATTCATGTTAGGCTTGTGAGAGAGCTTGAGAAGAAATTCAGTGGAAAGGTATTTCTATATTATCTTTTTTAATTCTTGGATGTGATTGTTTTGTGTATGCCATTGATGCAGTGATGCTACTTGTGGATATTCTTACATTCTAAACACTTGGGGACTGGCATTCCATTAATTAGCAATATTCATAGAACCTTTTTTATTTTGGCATTAGAGGGAGTTGTTGAGTAATATTACATATAAAGTTGTTGAAGCACAAGTCTTGATGATTATGGTGATTTGGTATGGAGTGTAATGTTAATTGATTCCAAATGGGGAGTCATCAATTGGTGGTATTGCGTTAGATACTAAGCCTAGAGAGTTTAATGTTCTTAGTTCTAAGCCCCAAAGAAATTACTTGGCCACTATTTCCTGGATTGGGCATGAGGAATGTGTATGATAATATGGTACTGATCAGTTAGAAATGTGGCCATTATCTTGTACTCTTTATGGTTCTGATTGATCATCCATTTCAACTCATCAATTGAAAAAGAACACCATATGCATTCTATCTTATATATTTTTCATTTTACTGTAAGTTCCTTAGTTGTGTGCTTCAGCTATTTTGCATCAACACATACAGATGAAAATTGGAATTTGTGTTTAACACTGCATGCATGTGATGGAGTTGAGCAATGATGACAAATGTTTATCCCAGCTCATTATGAGACCTTTTGTAGGTCAGGGAATTTATTTGTTAAACATTAATCTGAGCTTGCATCTTCCTTGTATTTTTTCCAAATGTACTAGATGTCATTCATTATGCTCATATCTATGCATCAGAATGATATTTGTATGTTGCTTAAGTATCAGAATGGTTTCATTCTTATATCTGATATTTTTGTTGTTATTTCTTCTCTTTATAATATTGCTGTCAGGATGTTGTTCTGATTGCCACTAGGAGGATAGCTAGGCCCCCAAAGAGAGGGTCTGCCGTTCAGCGTCCTCGCAGCAGAACACTTACTGCTGTCCATGAAGCCATGTTGGAGGACATTGTTGTTCCAGCTGAGATTGTTGGGAAGCGAGTCCGATACCGCCTTGATGGGTCCAAGATAATGAAGGTGAATATTAAAACAAATGATCAATATATTAAATTATTTTCCCCTCTAATGTTTGTTAAGATGGCTGTGGTTGAGTAATATGATAAGAAAGTATTAATTTCATTATTATGTGTTAGTGATTCTCACTTTAATTGCATGAATGCAGGTCTTCCTTGACCCAAAGCAGAAGAATGACACTGAATACAAGCTAGAGACATATTCTGCTGTTTACAGGAAACTTGCAGGAAAAGATGTCGTCTTTGAGTACCCATTAACAGAAGCTTAAGAGTATGCCCGGCTTATTGTTGTTTATGTCTGTTGAGACTTGAAATTAATGTTTTTATCCTTCAAAATTTTGACATTTGATGGCATTTTTGTTGGTTTAGAATGCAGATTACTCTTGAAGTCTTTTCTGAAACTTCTGTGACTTAATTAATTATTTGCTTGCTATAGTGTGTGAATTAACACAGCCCCTTTTAATGTTTAGGTTCTATACTTTATTTGTATTTAAGCCTGCATGCATGTTGTTTTAAATTTACCCTATTTGTTTCTAAGATGAATGTTTGCTTTATCCAACCAAGTTGTCTTGTATTCGATGGATACCCACCAATTTCTTTATACTGAATTAAGCCAGTCAAAATAGTGTTGGAGGATAATTGAGGTGGTTATTATAAGTTGGTCCAAATTGACCACTGAACTTAACTTGAAAGTGTATTAAGGCTACTGAACAATAAAAAGTACAATACTTGAAATGTATGCAATTTCACTTGATAATAGGTTTCCATCCATTTTGTTTGGCTTATGGGGATTGTGAGTTGGTCTTAATTTTTTTTTTTTCTTTTCTCTTCTTTCTTAAGTGTGTCTTCTCTCCAAGTTATATTTTGAATTTGTCGTCTTTACTTATTATTATTATTATTTGAAAAAATAGCACTTTCGGTCAATTGACTATTGAACATGTTTAGATTTGGTCCATAACTATTAATGTTTTTAAATTAGGTGCATGATTATTTAATTTGTATCACATTTATAGTCCTTGATTATTAATATTTTCAATAAGATTTTTTTTTTTAGTTTTTTTTTTTTTTTTTTGTAATTAAAAATTATTGAAAAATGTCAATTCACCATTCACGTAAGTAATTGGGTTAAATGAGTGTTAACCTGCAAGTAGGTGAAATTGTATATATTTGGGGTGTTCATTGTTTTAATTGCATTTTTTTTTTTCGTTTCAATTTGGACCTTATTCATTATATATATAAGTTGAAAGGAAAACATATTACCAAAATAATTACCAATCATATTGCTATCCAAATATAGTGAATTTGAATTAACACTATTGAAGAAGACTTAATTTTTTGGATCATGTTGAATCATCACATAAAATTAACATTTATAGACTTGAATTGATATAATGAAAATAAATGTGAAAGTGTTGATTAATTGAGATCCTAAAAGTGGATCTAATTTCATTCTCCACGTGCCCTAGCTTGAAGCAATACATTATACTAATTTCATGATGAAGAACAAGTACCTTCCTATATTGAAGGAAGCATAGTACGTGGGTATTGGCTTTGAGACAAAAATTGAGTACTTGAAACTTCAACACATGGTATATGGTCCATTGTAAAATACAAATACAAATTACATTTATGCATTAAATTTGTGTTTCTTTTCCCCCCAAACTTTTACATGGGACCATTGGAGCATGTGTATTGTTAATTCATTGAATTGAATTGTTTTGGTGATTTTGTTGAATGGGTATACTATTATTGTCATGTTTTTTTCTTTAAGTTATTTCTTTATCATTGTCTTCTTTATTCTATTTGCTAAGATGAGCAACAATAATTGGTTATTCTCTATTGAGCAACAGTCATTAGAGGATTTCAAATTGAATAGAGGAAAAGCTTTTAACTTTTGAAGAAATATGAAATCTTTCATTTTCTATGATTTTAATTCAAATTTTTAACCTTCTCAAATGTAATTTTCTATGATTTTAATTCAAAATTGTAACCTTCTCAAATGTAATTTTGAATATGAAACTATGAATGTATGGTTGTAACTATTGGTAAAAATTTGTAACAATTACTATACTAGTGAAATAATGCGTGTTGTACAATAAAAAAAAAAGAGTTAATTCCAACAATGGTTCTCCGACTATGTTGATTTTCCACAATTGATCCTTAACTTTTAATTTGGACAATTTAGACACTTGACTTTCGAATTCTTTCCAATATTAGTCCTTCCGTCAAATGAAGATTTCTTTCCAATATTAGTCCTTCCGTCAAATGAAGGTTAAGTGGATGTTAGTTTGAGGGGTAAAATAGTCATTTCACTTGCTTAGTTTATAATTATCCCTTTCCTGTATATGCGACATTCTTTCCGGTTGCAAACAAGTCCAATCTGCGGGCAATCCTCAACGTCCATGGAAGTTACAACAGAGAAGAAGATGATGAGTGAGTGATGATAAGATGGTTGCTTCCCAGTTGAACCATGAGGATCCTAATGATGATCAGAAGAGATACAAGGGCGGCGGCGAGCCGAGATTGAAAAATCAGAAGAGAAGAACACTGCATGCGGTGAAGAAAACCGCCGGAGCAAAACACTCGTCTCCGCTGGGTTGGTATCAAGGACACAGAGGATGAAGATGGAGAAGGCGAATATTTCCAGTGTTTCTTCTGCTCATCTTGCAAGCTGAAGCCCAGGCTTTCCATGCTGGTCTAAAGTTGAAGAAGCTCCAGAATGATCACCAACTACACTACATGTTGCATGGTTTCTTTCATCCACAATAAACAAGTTGACAGATGGTTATCATAACTCTTGATTTCTTACATGTAGATTCTGAGTAGATCCATGATTCCTCAGAGATGGAAAGTAAGATCCTAAACATCCTAGTTCTATTTTAGTTTAATGAAGGTAGGGCATTACAGCATTTGATTCCACCCCTACATGCATGCATTTTTCATTGAAATAAATTAGTACACTCTGGGTAATTCCAAAAGTTCCAAGTTCAATTTTTTGTCATCCAATAAAAATTTGCTGCTATGGTCTTCACATTTCACACAAATACCTTCGCAAACAGAACATATCATACAGGAACGAGAGTTTTGCTCCTGCGGTTTTCTTCACCGCACAGTGTTCTTCTCTTCTGATTTTTCAATCTCGGCTCGCCGCCCCGCCGTTGTATCTCTTCTGATCATCATTAGGATCGTCGTGGTTCAACTGGGAAGAAACCAGCTTACCAGGAGCCCTCCAATCACTCACTCTATTATTATGCTCATCATCTTCTTCTCTGTAACTTCCATGGATGTTGAAGATTGCCGGCGGATTGGACTTGTTTGCAACCGGGAAGAGTGTCGCATATAATTGACGGAAGGACTATTTGAACTAAGCAAGTGAAATGACTATTTTACCTCTCAAACTAGCATCCACTTAACCTTCATTTGACGGAAGGACTAATATTGGAAAGAATCTAAAAGTCAAATGTCTAAATTGTTCAAATTAAAAGCTAAGGACCAATGGTGGAAAATCAATATAGTCGGAAGACCATTGCTGGAATTAACTCATTAAAAAAATACCAACAGAGAAAAAAATGGCAATTAAATTGCATAATCAAAATAAATATTGAATTATTGTAGTTTCATAATTGATATTTAAATGTTATTTTCATGATTTTGTATCGACTCATTATACTATATTCTAACAAAACATTCACATTGCATTAAGTAATTGAACACTCAAAAGATCTGAACTAAAAGCGAAAATTAAAAGGTATTTATAAAAATACAAGAAAGAAAGCTTGTACAAAATATAAGTCATTAGTATAATTTATTATACCAACACCATTTGTGTTCACATTATAATTTAACAATATTAGCTCTTGTAAGAACTATTAAACCTCATTTTGGATCAAATACACAAGAATTGAAGCATGGGCATTCAAGTTAAAAACTCGCCTTCTCCTTTTTTTTTTTTTTTTTTTTTTTTTGCAAAATTTATTATTTTCTTGCGTTCAAAAACATTTTTGTATTCCTTTTTATAGAAAAGAAAGGAAACTGAAGATGAAACTTCAACCAACATAATTTCACAAAATATAAAGATTAATTTTATGAACAAGATATAGATATTAGGACATTTAGGGGTGGGCATGGAGGGGGATTTAGGATGAATTCACATCCAATCCATTAAAGATGGATTTGAAAATTTTCATTCGCATCTGCATTTGCTAGGGGTGTGAATCCAATCCATTCCGATTCACTAATGGCAAATTCGGTGGATTAGATGCGGATCGAATGTCGAATGTTAAGTTTAAAAAAACACAATAAGTTATAATAAAAGATTTCAAATATTCAAAAATCAAAATCACATTTTTTTTCAAGCATCCCATTAAAATAAACCCAACTAAATATCCAGTTCTAAAAAAATTACAAATAATTAATTTATAATTCAAAGAAATTTAAATGAAAAATCCTCATTCATTTTCAATTCTTCATCTTCGCAAGTAGTTCCAACTTTTGATGATAGGGATCTTGATTAAAAAATCAATAAAATAGCTAGTCGCAAATAATATATATATATATATATATATATATATATATATATATATATATATATATATATATATATATATATATATTTGTCAAACCACGAAGTTTCATGAGCAGACCCTAACTGTAAGCGCCACCTTTAAGCTCGTACCATACTCAGACTAATCTCCGTTCGCACTAGGGCGGCCCAATTAAGGGGCAAAGTGCTGGAAAAGTGCCCTTTAATTCGACGCCAAGTTCACACCCAACTAACGGAGGACCGATTTAGTTTAAAATCTAATAGTTGGAGGACCAATTTGGTTTCAATTAAAAGTCATAGGATCAATTTGAGAAAGGACCATAGTCGGATGACCATTTTGGAAATTTCCTCAATCTAAAATTATAATTGAATTATAATTTTAGAACTTATCGTGCATTACTGAAGAAGTAGGCATGTTCTCACCTGAATGTGTGTATGTGTGTGTGTGTGTGTGTGTGTCTCTCTCTCTCTCTCTCTCTATATATATATATATATATATATATATATATATATATATATATATATATATATATATATATATATATATATATATATATATATATATATATATATATAGGGTCCGGATCAGGTGAGGACCTAATCTTAGGTGAGGACGTGAGGACTAATCTAGACCATTAAATCAGAATGATGTATGACTGAGATTAAAAGGAACAAATCACACGGATTAAGAAAACAAATCCCTTTAAAATATTAAAATATATAAATTTAGGGTAAATCATTCTTATTAAAAGATGTGCATTCCTATACAAAGTGTTGTGCATTCCTATACTGAGTGTTGTGCATTCCTATACTGAGTGTTGTGCATCGATAAATTTATTGTTGTGCATTCAAACCCCGCCAAAAATCATTCAGTGGACATCCCAATGTCCTACGATGCACTAAACTATGTGCTATAATACACAACTCTATAGCCTATAGTACACAACTTACAACACTAGGTTGCACAATCAGCACACACGAATGCACAATCTTACTACCCACGCATTTATACATATACACGACAATCCAAATATAGACAATATTATACTCAAAAGAACGAGCGAAAAAAATAAAAAATGCTAATTAGTTTGCATGGGCGAACACTCAATCAATGATGAAGAAATCGCGGCTCCAAATTGCAACGGAGATGATCCAAGAAAATAGGAAACCAATTTGGCCAAGGATTACACATGCGTTCACACTTTAAAAAAATAGAAAAAGACACTACTACCCACTTTAACAAAAAAGATCAATCCATGTCATCTCAAGAACTCAAATCTGGGTCATCCAAATAAAAATACAAACGCACAAGATTAGTCCGCACGTCCTCACATAAGATTAGGTCCTTACCTGATCCGGATCCTATATATATATATATATATGGAAAGGATCATATGGCTTCCCGCGCGGTTGTGCGGTTGGACGCAAATTAAGCATTAAACTGACGCACTTTAAGTACACAACACACGCACATTTTTTTTGGTGGGGACAACACACACATTAAACACACAAACAAAACACCTTATGAACACTAATCTCACACACATTAAGTACAAAACTCACGCACCTTAAACACAAAACTCATACACCTTAAGTTTCAACAACTACTCACATTAAGAACACAAAAAGAACCCAAATCTCACGCACATTAAGCACATAACTCACGCACCTTAAGCACAAAACTCATGCACCTTAAGTATAATACTCACACACATTAATCACCGCACAAGAACTTAATTATATATATATATATATATATATATATATATATATATATATATATATATATATATATATATATATATATTACACAATAGCTATCTTGGATTTGAACTCAAAACCTAACCATGTGTGGGCAGGGTGGGATCTGATTTGATCTGCAGAATTGCACCATACTAAGGTTAGGATGGGATTGGCTTGAGAATGGAGAGTGTATAGTACTTGCAAAAACAACTGCCCACCAAACACAACCTGCTCATGCTTTTGTCTACACTTCACCATCACTCTTTCTTAGCTTCATGTTCAAGCCTTAATTTTTTCCAACCAAAACATTATAATCCCCTTAGTTTGGTCTTATATTCCTAGTAATAACTTTTATTATTTCAAAGTCAAATCAAACTCTTTATTCACTTTTTTTTTTTTTAAATCATTTTATTTAATAGAATCTTTTAATTATATACATCTCAAAATTAAAGTAAACACTTTGAGTAAATATTTATTATTAATTGAATTAGGCATATGTAAATGAAAAGGATCATTATTTTCATTTTTCTCCATAAATATTTTAATTATGTTTTTTATTAAATGATGATTTTTACAATTTATTTGTTTGTATAAATCTTTAAAATTTATACAAATAATTGTATATGTATCTATATATATATAATCTATGGTGTTGATTGATACCAATATTTCTTGCACAAGGTACATCGGATGCAATGAAGGACATTTGTAAGGACCATGTTCCCATTACCCGAGTATAAACTCCAAAATGTTTTGTATTCACTTTTAGTTGTACTTGATGCATTTGACACCAGTGTTGATCAACACCTTAGAATTTTACGTACTATATATAAAGAACAAATTTACATGGACCAGTATACTTCCATTAAATCATTAATTGAATTAGGTATAAATAAATGAAAAGGGTCATTATTTTCATTTTTTCTCCACAAATATTTTAATGATATTTTTTATTAAATGATGGTCTTTACAATTTATTTGTTTAAAATTTATACAAACAATTGCCTTAACCATTAAACCTTTAGGGGTCGTTTGGTTCACGGAATGTCAGATTACCTTAGGGAATGTTAGATTGCTGGGAATGTTAGATTACTGGGAATCTTAGATTCCTGTGTTTGGTTAAAATTGGTGTATGTTATATAATCATGTTTGGTTTAGGTTTATCTTTTATACACACACTATAATATCTCTAACATAACCAAGGTTATCTTACATAACCTAAGAAATTGAAGGGAATCACATTCCCTTCAAAATCCTATGTGGAGGGAATGTGACATTCCTTGGGAATGTTAGATTCCCTCAGATAATATGAACCAAACATAGGAATCTGAGTTTTGGAATGTTACATTCCCTTGGTTATGTTATATAACCTGAACCAAACGCCCCCTTAATCCCAATAACACTACCAAACTTGCTTTAGCCAAGTCCAACAAAAGTACATGAATTATGACTCAAAACCTAATCCTCCTTACTTCTCCCCTAAACATATATATAAATACCAAATTCGAATATCTTCTAGCATGCACGCACACATTAATATATATGTATCTATATAATCTATGGCGCCTGTTGGTGCCGATACTTCTTACGTGCAATTTAAAAGTTCAGGGTTTATATCCGGCATGTAATGAAGAAAATTTTAAGGATAATGTTCCCATTACACCGATGCAAACTCTAAAATATTTTGTATTCACTTTTACGGGGCGTTTGGTTGGAAAGAAGGAATTACGTGGGAAATGAATTGCAATTCCATGAAAGATGAATTACTGGGAATAAAATGGAAATTTAAATTTCAGTGTTTGGTTTGCATGAATAAAATTACTGGGAATTTCAATTCCAATGTTTGGTATACATAGGAATTGAAAGGGAATAAGTAGTATAAAGTCCAAAATGCTCATTGTACTGTTGTTGTCAGGCATCAATTTTAGGTTAAAAAAAGGGAGGGTAATTTTGTCTCATCATCCCATTTTCTTCCTAAAATCCATGGAATTAAAATCCCAAGGGGGCATGGGATTTTAATTCTATGAAAATGAGGGAATTGCAATTCCTTCCAATAAAACTAAGGAATTTAGTGGCCTTTGAAATTATGTGGAAATTAAGTGAGAATGGAATTTAAATTTCCTCAAACCAAACGCCCGGTTTGTTGCACTTGGTGCATTTGGCACGTGTATGGGTCAGCACTTTAGAATTTTACTATATATAGAACAAATTTACATGAACCAATTTACTTTCATTAAATCTTTTGTATTTGAAATACTTTTACATCTACATCTACAAACCTAATAAGGGCCAATAAAGTTATGCCCCTAACGGTAACTAAAAAAATGTTGGTGTAATTATTTGTTGAAATGAATGGTTCATATTATTTTGATTTTAGAATTTTTTAAATTATTTTTCCTACTTTACCCTCTATTATATCTTTTACTTTTCTTAAATACCATGTGTCCCGTCAGTGTAAACTTTAGTAATGAAATATTTTATTAATTATTTATTATTCTTAACTTACTCATTGATTTTAAGAAGGAAAGTTTTAGGTTCGAACTCCATCACAATCAAAATTGACATAATTGTTAAACATATAAAGTGAATATGTTAGAGTGTATAAAAAAAAATACAATATAAAATTTAATATGAACTTTGGTCAATTAATTAGAACCACACATTGTGCATTGATAAAACGGTACACCTAATTTACAATATATATTCAATACCGATGAGAAATTATGCCTATTATCACTCTCTTTTGGGGAAGGAGGATTTGATTTTGTTTTTGAAGGTGCACTGCGCCAATGCACTAAAATTGCAGTGAAACACATCAGGAGACTAGATTAAATCAAGAATTCATTTCTGACGGAAGTGGCAACAAGAGGAAGCATGAATCATACCAATTAATAGGGTTTTGTGTTGTAAATTATGCTTGAGTATTATTTGATGAGGGTGCTTCCCTCTAAAATCGCTATTACACCAGTTAATTATGAAAAATTATGCCATAGGTCATAGTTATGCATTCTTGAAAATTGAAATATTTAATTTTATGAAAATTTGGATAATCTTGCATTGATATACGCTAGGATATCGAATGATACTTTGATAAATTCTGAAATACTAATTTAAAAAATGCATTGGGCATTGAACTATTCACGCAACACACATGTGGTAACTAGTAATTAATATAAGGTGAAATCAATTAATTTGTGAGCCACTAATAAATTTAAAATAATTACATCACATAAAAAATTATTAAAAAGAATATTTCATTACAAATTAAATCTAAATAACATTACTCAAAAAAAAAATCTAAAGAACATTAATTTTTCCTTCTACTAAAACAACTGATTGAGCTACTGACGATTTACCTCCTCCAACGCTCTTGGGCAGGAGTTCTGAAGGCTTATGATTTATTTAGCATAAGCTGAAAAATGTAATGCATAGAAAGAAGGAAATGTTTAAAAAAAAAAAAAAAAAAACTATTTTGATGATGTAACTCATGGGAGGGTGAAAGGCAACCAATGGTTTAAACTCTGGTCCAATATTATTGGATATATCTCCTGAGATGGGGTCCAGCCAGGGAGCAGAAACCCCAGAAGACCAGTATGCCACGTGGCCCTCTAAAAAAGCTCAAAACTTTTTTTGCTCTTTTCATCAAAACAAATAATAAAATAATACACCCTCCATGCTTAGTAGTATTATTTTTGTAGCCCCCCTTTGTATATATATTATATAAGCACTCACAGTCTCACCCTTACCAATAAGTCATCATCCACTCCATCCCTCCCTTCCCCTCCTGAGAAACTCTCTGCACCAAACTTTCATGGCAGATCACTTCAGGCAGCTATTTCCTCTACTCAACGTGGATCCAAGCATGGAGGTTGCCCAATTCCCAGAGCTAAACCCGAATTTCGGAGACCTTTCGGGCCCGAATTTCCACACCTTAATGGGATTCTCCCAGCAGGACCAGTTTCTCAGTCAAGTGCCTTCTGCTGCAGAATTTTCTCCACAAGAATATGCAGTCAATTCCCTTCATTATGAAGCGAAAACGGGCCACCGGGCCGTGATTTTACCCGAAAATGATGCCCTTGAGACCAAGATGAAGCCTGCAGATTACACCACCATGGAAAGCTGCTCAGCAAACTCTTCTTCACCTGCAGTTTCTGAGATTGGAACTAGGAGAAAACATGTAAGTTTGAATGCCATATATATAATATGATGAACTAACTAACATTCATGGTTTGGAAAAACCAATCTGGTCAACACTTTGCCCTTAATTGGGCTGGTCCGGTGCGAATGAGTATTAATTTGAGTATGATACGGACTTAAAAGTGCCTCCTACAGTTAGGGCATGCTCAAAATACCTCATGACCTGAAAAAAAAAAAAAACATTCATGGTTTAATTTTGTTGGGACTACTGCTTGGAAGGCTGAGTTCGGCGTGACGCTGTAAGAAGGATGTGGTTAAATGGTTAATATCGACCTACTTATGATTATATATTATTTTTGTTACAGAGTGTAGGAAAAGGAAAGAGAAAGAAAAGCAGTGAAGAAGAGGATACAAAACCAATGGAAGTTGTGCATGTAAGAGCCAGAAGAGGGCAGGCCACTGATAGTCACAGTTTAGCAGAAAGGGTCAGTTCAAATCTTTTTGTTTTCTTTTCCCCCATTATTCCCATAATTTTTGCAGATAAATTTGACAATTTTTATTTATTTAAATTCAGGTTAGGAGAGGGAAAATCAATGAGAGACTTAAGTGCTTGCAAGATATTGTACCAGGATGCTATAAGGTAAATATTATAGTTTTATAATTCAATGTTTTTGTTGGTAATTACATAGTCCTATTAATTTTATTATAAATTTAATTTGTTTGTCTTGGGTAATATAAAACTAATCCTAATAATGTCTCCTTAATCAAATTGCAGACAATGGGCATGGCTGTAATGTTGGATGAAATAATCAACTATGTTCAATCGTTGCAAAATCAAGTTGAGGTAAGTCGAGTTAAAACACTATTGTACCATACTAATTTTGTAATTCAGTGATCTCCAAACTCCACAGAATAGGTTTTAAGTTCTATCTTTAATAATTTTAGATCTACTCAAAAAAAAAAAAAAAAAAAAAGAAGTTTGCAAAAGCCAATATGTGTGTTAACAAAAAAAAATTAGTATTATTGTCATTTCTTGACAATATTTCCTTTGGGTTTCAGTTTCTATCAATGAAGCTCACAGAGGCAAGCTCCTATTATGACTTCAACTCAGAAACAGAGATTATAGAAACAATGCAGGTAAAATTTTGCTCATTTTACATTAAATTTTCCTATATCATCCTCGAGAGAGCTGTCCCTAAATGGGGCCCGGGGCCCGACCAAGACTCAGCGGGATTAGTCTAACTTTATTTTATTTCATTTTTGTCAGAGAGCAAAGGCATATGAAGATATGAAAATGCAGAAGCAAGTGAAGGATGGGTATGAAGGGCTCTCAACTTCTAACCCTTTTGACCAGCAGAGCTTTGGGTGCTACCCTTCATTGCCACACAATACCTCATGAGGATTATCCTTTTTTTTTTTTTTTTTTTTTCCTTTTTCTTGAAAGTTCTGATTTTATCAGTCTAAAAATTGTACACTTGCAAATAAATTCAACATACAAAGTGATAAATGACCAATTATTAGCATAGTGCATAATCTCACTCTTTAGTTTTTTTTTTTTACTTCCTGTTGAGGGTACTTAGATATTGAAAATGTTGAGAAAACTAAGTGTAACTCGGTCTTAATTGCCATGTAGTTTGGATTATTGAATACATAAATTTTATCCTTAGCTTTCATTCAATCTTACTATCTGCTAATTAAAATATTTTTTAGAATAATTATCTATTTCTTACGTAGTTACGTGAGTAACTCATAATGATAGATCACTTAATTATGTATGTCATATCGTTGAATAAAAAATTTGATTAAAAGGTTACTCAAGAAAGCATGTGCACGTCCATTCATATAACACGTTAATGAAGTAAACTGTTGGAAGAGCACGTTTAAAAATTAAATTATGTAGCAAAGTAAGTATAGTTTGGTTGATTAAACGAGACATGATTAGATGTATTGTTCCATCTTTGATGATTAATTTGAGACAAGAAAAGATGTTTGCTTCCGTGTGACTAAATGACAATTTAGTAACTACCAAATATTTTTTGACTTTGACAACAAGTTTCAAAATGGCCAAGCAAAACACCCCATTCAATTCTACCATTTTATTTTGCTGTCTTGTTAGTGAATCAATCAATCACAAATTATTATTGCTATTTTTAATTGTGAGATATCCAAACTTTAACCTTAATTAGTTCTTCTTTTCTAAAATACTGCTTACTTAACTAATTAGCTAAGTCCATGCGGACAACCTTAATTAGTTCCTGTATAGAGAGTAGGAGATGGATGCAGATTTTGATGATATTAGAAGACATATCAAGTTGTTTTTCTTGGGGGGTTATAAGTTTTTTTTTTTTTTTTTTTTTTTTTCTGCTTCTTTTGAGGTTTAGTCGGGGAAAGAAAGGTAAAGAGAAATTTTATTATTGAGTTAATACTCTAAATGATCCTCGACTATAATGAGTTTTCTCAATTTCAACTTAAACGACTTCAGTGACCTAATGTAGTCCAAGAATTTTGTGTTTTTGCTCAATTTAGTCCTCCATTTGTTATTCCATTCATTTGGTGTTAAATAGAGGGACAATTAAGTAATTTCAATATTGACATCTCTTTACTCCTAGACATGCGAAGTGCGAAATTCGCTTTCTTTTACGAATTACTCCCAAACTTGCGGATATAAAATTTGATTTGCAAGTATGATCTAGGAGTAATTCATAAAAGAAAGAGAGATTTTGCACTTTGTAGGGCTGACAGTAAAGAGATGTCAATATTGAGATTACTGAATTGTCCCTTTATTTAATGTCAATTGGAATGAATAACAAAAGGAGGACTAAATTGAGCAAAGCTACAAAAATTTAGGACTACATTAGGTCACCAAAATCATTTAGGACGAAATTGAAAAAAATTACTCGAGTTAGTTGGTTTTTAATTTGTTGCTATTTTTCCTATTTCTTTGAACTTTGAAGGTCAAGTTTATATGATTATTATATCATCCATCGGTCTTAGCTTTGTTTTTCTCATTCTATTTGCAATAACGAAAGTACACTAATGAAATAAAGTAATTCAATTCCCATGAAGCCATGAGTGCCTACATTATTCCTTCTATTTTCTTAAAATAGAAATTGAAATAATTAATTAGTTGAATCAAAACCAATAATCAATTCAATGTAAAACAAAGTCTTTCTAGTCACATGTCATTTTTACTATTAAAGTCAATAAAATTATACTTGATCTAAGCACGCGCAAGTTTATATCATCGTGATGTGTCGTGGTATATATGCGAGATATAATTTTATCTATAAAAATTATGTCAAGCGCCTCTCTCTCAATATAGGTCAAGATATAAAACATTTTGACCATATACGTAACTGAACGTGGCTAAAATCTAAAAATGGTTTCTTTTTCTATATATATCGATTTGTTTCATAATGATCCGGCTAATAATGATTAGATTGACGTAATTTGCTTTTTAAAATTATGCAAAGAAACTTTTTGACTAAACGAATTGACAAAATTTTAGAAAATTAATTAATTGGATTAGATAAATGGTGTGTGTTTGATTTGATGATAATGAGGGAACAAAATTCGTCTAAAATCTTATGAACGTAATTGGGTTGACCCTACTAATTATTCTCTAATTGTTTGTTTCCCATCCTAATTAATCATGTTAGTACTTAGTAGTAGGTAGTTGTCACTCCATAATGCAACACATCAAGATTTCAAAATCTAATTTGGTGCAATCAACGGAAAATAAAATAGAAAAATTGCTAGTTAATTATGCAAAAATTTGTGCACGCATCACTCGATATGGCTGATGAGTCGAATATTACAATCTTTTGTATGTATTTATTGGTTAATTGTGAATTAGTTGGTCAATATTGAATTGACTAAATCAAATCATATATAGAGTGGTAAAAATTTTTGGTGGTTCAAATAATATTTTTTTGGGTGTGTATCCAGGGTTTCCACCATCGGACACAGTGATTAATCCTTTGCTGAACCTGGAGATTTAAGGCTGCTCCATACCTAAAGTCAATGATCGAACTCTTAATATTCGGTTAAAGATGGATGAATTTATTCCACTCAACTACACCCTCCTGGTTATGGTTCAAATAATATTAACTAATGAACTAAATAGTAAATAGTTTTGAGATTTTAATATGAATGACAATGCATTTTTAATTAAAATGAAATGAATTTTATTTTTTCAAAACGAAAGGAGCAAAAATTAAATTATACATTAATACAAAAAATATTATTACCATAACGACCTAAATTATACCAATAATGCAAAAGTATAATTGAAATATTAAGTTTTGCTCTGATCTAAATTATCAAAAGAAGATTAATTAAACGAAAAAAAAAAAAAAAAAAACTTAACCTAGATTTGTTGTTGTTGTTTTTTTTTTTTTTTTTTTTTGTTTTTTTTTAATGCATAAAAATCAAATGATTTTTAAAGTTCTTGATTTATAATCTTTGATGCTTAACTTTGAATGTGATGTATTTAGCCGGATTAATTATTTGAACAAAGTTTATGTTAAATTTTATATTAACATATTTTTTAAATATATTTTAACATATTCATAGTATATGTTTAACAATTATGCCAACTCTAATTGGGATGGGGTTCGAACCTAAGAACTTTCTTATAGAAATTAATATGAGTAAGTTAAAAATAATAAATAGTTAACGGAATATTCCGTTACTAAAGTTTATACTAACAGAAATTAGGTTATTTAGAGGGAGAAAATAATATAATAGAGGGTAAATAAGAAAAATCATTAAAAAAAAATAATAAAATTAAAATAATATGAACCATTCATTTTAAGAAATAATACTATTGACATTTTTTTCATTCCAGTTAAGGGCCTAACATTATTGGTTCTTATTAAAATTATATTACTAGTTTTACACGCACATTGCGCGAATGAGTTAATGCCCAATGTTTATAATTAAATAAATATTTGAAAGTATATCAATGCAATATTATATATGAGAAGTTCATACATAAGTAATTTGATGTCGAATTTGTTTATTTAAATATGTAAGTCACAATATATAAATACAATGTAATATAGGAGGTTCATTATAATTATTACTAAACTTTTTTTTAAATAGTAACCAAATATTTTTGTTGCAAAGGCTTCTAATATATTTAATGAATGCACATTTATACAAGATCAATGAATCAATCAACGGTACCAGTCCTTTATGTGTTTTCCTCAGTGTTCATTTAGTTCAACCATTATTGTTGAATAAATTATTATAGATAAAGAAATTCCTAATTTAAGGAATTTAGATGTAGTAAAAATTTAAAATTTTTAATAATTATAATGTAACCCAAAGATATTTGAAGATTAGTAAATATGATGTAACCCAAAGATCAAAATGCTAAAGAAAGTGTTTGGTTATTCAACAGTTTGAAGCAACAATTTGTTCCAAACCCCTGAAAATACAAACATTGCAATTTGCAATATTTTCACTTAGCGTTTTTTAGATTGATTTTCCAAAAACACCTCTAGATTTAAAAAAAAAAAAAAAATTACTGTAGAGGCATTCATTTCGACTCCTTGAATAAAAGAGCTAGTTTCACTGGCTCATTGCTTGCCCATGCCATTTTCCCATAATGTGGGAAAAATGACAAAACTAAGGGGGCGAACGTTCGGCTCCCCATATGTTTTATTATTTTTATTTTATTTTATTTTTTTATTAAATTATTATTTTTAAACAATTATTATTATTATTATTATTATTATTATTATTATTATTATTATTATTATTATTATTATTATTATTATTATTATTATTATTATTATTATTATTATTATTATTATTATTATTATTATTATTATTATTATTATTATATCCTTAAGTCATTTTACATGTTAATCTAAACAGTTAATTTTTCAAATATCTTTTTACCAACCGTTGATATAATTCGCTGGTCAAATCCGCTAACGCTAACCGCTAACTGCTGATTGTCAAACAAGGACATTGCGAGATTGTTCTCACTTCAATTTGTTGTGTGATTTGAATACTCTCTTTGTCAACAAATTCATCAAGTAGTTAATATGTTGGCTTTATTAATTATAGTTTTTAAATTTTTTCATGGTATTAATAAAATACTTGGTAAATAAATATATAGCATTATTTTGTATTATAACTTTGATATTTAATTAAAAAATAGTGCCCAAAAAAGATAATAGACAATGTAGTGAATATAATCAATTGATGAATTTGAATGTAAAGAATTTTTACATTGGAGAAATATAAAGACAATATAACTAATAAAATTATTTCTCATAACTAATTTATTGATAATGAATAATTTTATTTTAATAAAGATATTGTAGGGATAATGTAGCGAATATAATCAATTGATGAATTTGAATGTAAAGAATTTTTATATTGAAGAAAATAAAGACAATATAACTAATGAAATTATTTCTCTTATTTAATTTATTGATAATGAATAATTTTTTTTTTTTGAATAAAGACATTGTAGACACATAATTCTAAATTAAAGAAATGTATATGTATTATTTTTTTTTGTAGCTACTAAATTATTATTTAATTTAATAAGAGTAAAATAGAGTACTAATTATGCCAACTTTGATTGGGATGAAGTTCGAACCTAAGACCTTTCTTATTGAAATCAATGAGTATGTT